CATGCCTCTACCCTTCCTCCACCGTTGACAAAAGCGGATGTCATGGGCGAGCGAGGTCATCCATGCACGGACTTTCGATAATTGCGAGGATTCCCACGGCCATTCAGCGAGCGGACCAGCATATAAGGGAGAACTTCAGGCATAGCAGAGCAGATGTGCTGGGACCACGACACACTACACTTGAAGTTTCTACCTATCATCTTCTTTTGAAGTCTTAAGCGGCTTATAATTGTCTTAATCATCATATTTTTGAAGCATACTGAACTTATGCTATTAACTGTTTGTCGTTGTACATGTTTTATAAGTATATTAAATTAAATGTTTGTGATTTACCCTGAAGTTATTCTATTAAATATCTAAAAACCTATCACCACGATTGTGACAAGACTCAAACAGCCTGCAATACATACGTACATGGCTACAGGGTTGTTACAATATTACAACTTGTATTATGATTTTGGACCCCCCAAGGGATATTTCTGGTTCCGCTGCTGCTTCATATAATGAGTTAACAACATAACTTTTACAGATCAACAAAAAACAACAGGACTCTTAGTCTAAACATTTAAATTTGCTTCAAGCCTAAACAATTGTAGTTCTTATAGACTTGAGAGAAAATCAGTTAACAGACTTCCAAACCTTTTATAATACATCAGTTAACATGTCTGTTATTTTACTCTTGCACACTGCTAAGTTTCTGAGTTTTAAATTTGCCATAAGAATTAAGAAAAATAATTGTAGTTATAATTTGAAATTTTATATATTTACTAATTTTTAGTAACTAGCGCGGATACTAACTTAGGTTAAATGCTTCAAGTTCTTTACTTTTGAGTTTTAAAGACGCTTATTATTCAGAGAACATTTTGCGTTATTCTCTTTATTAAGTTAGGTAAAAAAATGTGTACGTTTTGTTAAAAACAATTACTTATTCTAGTTTATTTTTCATCACATACGGTAATGCATTGCAAAAACATTTTACTGTTTGCAGTTGAATTTAGAGCATCAAATCTGTTTTTCATTAAAATACATGCTTAATATTTTTTAATTATTGTGGATGAATATGCCGTACGATGACATAAGTCATAAATCAACAAGTAGGAACCTACACGTTATTTGCAGTCGGCATCCTAGATCGTCTTTAGACCTGCAATAGCGCATGCAATGACCTTTTTAAATAATAGACAAAGATGCCGCTATCATACTGTTTTTTTTAAATTGTATTACAGTACAGATTATATCGTCACAACAATTTTATGATTTATTTCAAAACCAATATGTTATTTGCGCCTATTTTTTTAGCGTTACAATAGCACAAAGGGACCTTTTTTAAATAATAGATAAAGACCGCTAGCTGCTAGCTGTTTGTTAAACCTATGAAATCGTATATTTTATTTACAGTCTACTAAAATACATACAAAATTCACATGAATATTGAGGCTATTCGGCTATTTATATTTTTTACGCAGTACATTTGTAAGCACAAAGAATAGCATAATCTTGGTCTTCGGGTCCAAACCCTCCCCTATGAGTAATTCTAAAGTGGAAAATTGGGGCGATCACCTCACCGACCTCCCCTCAGATAATCCTAGGATATATATACACATATATATATATATATATATTAATTGTATTATAATAATTTAGGTAAAAATTACATTGTGTCATATTATATTATGTCATTGATTTATTTGATCACATTTAAAAAACATTATTTTCTAACTATTAAAATACTTGATAAATACGATTTTATAAATATATTATAGATAAATATGTTTTTAAAAATGTTTTTCATACCTGTGATAAAATAAAATATTAAAAAAAAATTATTATTATAATATAGTTTAAAAAATAATTTTTAAAGCAATATTTTATTGTTATTTAAAACAGATTGTTTTAGAAATTTTTAAAAATAAAACGTTTTGAAAATGCCATTTTTGCAATTTTGCAATATTTCAAAAATGTTAGTAAAACGTTTCTTTACACATCGGGCTATTTAAGAAAAAAATCTAATTTAGAAGTTATAGAGATTATGAAAATGTACAAAACTTAATTTAATTAAATTTATCGTCTTAGTTAAACTTAAAATAGTTTATTTTAAAAATATTGCATTTTTTAATTAATAGTTTTTTTAGCGCAGACTTCTAAAATTAATAATCTGTTTTATTGTACGTAATCTAATGGATTATTTTTTAAACTAGTAAAGGTCTAATCAAATTTACAACACATAACAAGCTTGCAGCTTTGACGATAATTTTTAATATAATTGAATGTGATTAATATATTTTTGTATCATTTGTTTTTGTTTCTAATTTTCAAATAAAAGTGTATTTTGCTTAAAGTGAGATAAGACTAATTATAATTATTTATAATAAACTTAATACAATTAATTCAATATTATTTTTGAAATGATATTTAAAAATAAATTCATCATAGGGTAACAACAGGCACTACCCCCAATTATTGGCAATATAGTGTTTCTTTTTTATAACACAGTTATTACATCAAGATATTTTATAATTTATACCATTAAGATAAATTGTTTTGACAAAACTTCATTAAAAAAACAATATATTTTATCTGTGATATAAAAAAACAAAGCATTGTCAAAGTCAGGATTATAGTGTCAATAACTGGTGCCATTACCCTAGTAAGAAATAAACACAATTATTAATTTATATATTTATTTATTTAGTACAAATTTATAATTTTTTACAATATATTTCAAATAAGGTATCTATTATTTTGTAAGAACACATGATTAAGATGGTTTCACTTGAAGTATACATTTTTTTGTAGTGAAAAAATACTTTACATCACATTTTTATAACTAATACTGTAACTGTTTAAATAATAAATAGCTTATGGTTTAATAGCTCTATTACGATGTAGTATCGTAATACTACAATACTACAATTTAGATTTTTAAACTATCTCTTTTTAACTAGTTTATTTATTATTTGTTTGATTTTACCTAAGTGAGTTGCATAGTCATCTCTTAATGCTAATATGTCTTTATTCAAACCAGATATTTTAAATTGATTACTTTTTAAGCATCTAATATTAACCCTTAACCACTCATGTGAGTTAAAAATTTACCCCAGTTACATAATATAGACATGTGACTGATGTAAAAAGTTTACCCAAGTCACACTTAATTGAAGTGTGACTGAAAACAGCAAGAGTAATGAAGTGTTAAATATTTATCAGTGTATGTATACGCTAATCAATTTTAATGCTAATCAATTATTTCAACTTTTACTCTTTCTTGTAATGGAATTAGTAGAAATATGATGAATAAAAGGTTAGGCTATCAAACACGAGCATGTTGAAGGCGCCCCAGAATGTTGGTCGTATTCAATGAAAATCTAGCCTTCCTTAAAACGTTTGAACCATACAAAAGTTACACAATGACTTAAAAAAAAATCTCCAAAAATCAACTCAAGTCTCCATAGTTTTTTAATAGTTTTTAAAACCTTTTCCAAGTATTACAAAATATTTTCTATCATAGAATCGTGGTTTTGTATAATATTTATAATTTTGAACATGAACTGTAAATAACTAGTTTGAAATAATGACTTTAGCTATAAACTAAGTACTGAAAATTATCTCTATTTAATTTCTATAAAATTAGTGTGTTTTAACATTAATAGTTTATCGGTAGGAGTTTTAGTCTGGGTATTTATTAAACACACCTTGTATGTAATGTATACTATTGAATTTTAATAGAGTAGTTTATAATTTAAAAAAATAGTAACTATTGTTAATATTGAAAGATAAATTACACATGCAAAAAATGTATTTAAAATAAAAGTTTTTTTTTAGATACTGGTTTTTCATAAACTTTACAAATAGCAATAGTTTTGTTTGTTTTGTGATAGATTTAACATACCATAGATGGACAATGTTCAAATCATATTGTATGAAACTATTTTTTTTAAATTTCATAAAGATATGATATCCAAAAATATGTTTAAAATAGTTAAGTACACTTAAATTGACGCAACAAATACATGGAAATGTTATATCTATTATGTAGCTGAATGTTACATTAGTGTCTTTTATTTTTAATATTAATATCTATTAACAATAATTCATTACCATGAGCATAAGCCTATTGGATCCAGCAAATTAAACATATTATACATGTAGTAACCACAAAAAAAAGCAGTCAGAAAATAAAATTATGAATTGGTAGAAAACATTTCCTTGTAGTTTATATAGCCAATTTGTGAGTATGGAGTATGGAGTTAAAATACCTATACGTTTTTCTTATAAATAATTGTAGGTAAATAAAACATGTAAATCTAACTAATATTACAATATTAATTATTCAAATTCATCAAAAAATATTACATAGGCTCAGCAGAGGTATTACGCTATCAACAACTAGAAATTATCATTTTATTGGTAAACAAACCAAAATTATTTTAATGTAATAAACCACTATTTCCAATGTTTATTATTTCCATAGGATATTTACATTTTAGAAAAAATGATAGTTGGGAAAATGGTATTTGGTATTTTTCAATTTTATTGAAATACAAACATTCCCAACGGACAATTTACCTCAAATTCACTTTTCCCAATAAACAATTTTTCCATAGGAAATGTGGTCGTTGGAAAATATATAAATTGGGAAAAGTGGTAGCAACCCGTTTGAAATACAGTCAAGAATCAAGATAAAATATGATGAGATACGAAACGAATTACTTTGGAGGTAATAATAATTATCAGCATGGATATTCGTCCATGACACGGTTAGGTTACTTGCATCTGGTATGTCAACAACTTGCGATGGCCGTGTAATGGCCGCCAGTTTTTTCGGGCGGCCGTGTATTTGTTACGAGAGAAAAGCGGCTGCCATATTGTAGAAATTGATAACACAAGTTGCCGACATACCTTATCTGGTTTATCATGGACAGAAAATTAATAATTGTTATCTTACTACATATTGTACAGCTGCCGGTCGCTTTCTACGGTCGGTCAGGTTAAAAGTGATAACTGACAAGCGAACGGCAACAGAATTAAAATTTTCGTTGTCATAGTTTTTTCATTACAGTAAAATGAGTTAATAATATATTTTAATTTCACTAGAACAATAAAAATGTTACCTCGAATACTAAGTCTGAATGCATTAAAACGAATGTTGATGGTCGACCGTCAGTTCGTGCGTTATGCAAGTGTTGTAATGTGCAACAACGGTAGAGCGTGCCCACCACAAGGCAGACATACTTCATCGACACCAGCTGTATCCCTCGTGTATATGCCAGTGCGCTATAGACGGTTTGCCAATAAGCATCATAGCAACAAAGACGACGATGCCGTTGATGGTGACGACAAGCAGAACGCCAGAGTCGTGGGCGAGAACAAAGCTGATGATGATACAATGGTAGCTACTATTCAAGTGCCGGAAAACTTACCTTATTTGCCGATGGTGGCAATACCGAAGCCTCCGTTGTATCCTAGGCTTTTTAGAATTGTCGAGGTATACTATTGTGCTGAGTCGAAAGTAACAATAATATTGTCAACTAAATGGTCTGTGTTCATTTGCAGATAAGTGATCCAAAACTGATAGCGTTAATTAAGAGGAAAAGAACTTTGGGTCTACCTTACATCGCTCTGTTTATGAGAAAAGACACAGTGTATGTGGTGAAAAAAAAACGCTCGTCATTTATATTTTTATTGTAAATTAATAAATATTATGTTTATATTTTCAGGGCCACCGCAAATGTAGTAAATAACATTGATGAAGTGTATGAAATTGGGACTTTAGGAAGAATTAACGAAATGCGAGAATTCAACAACAAATTACACATGCTTATACAAAGTTTCAGAAGGATTAAATTGACAAAACCTTATTTTGAAGATCAAGATATCGATAAAGGTATTTAAACGCTGTAAAATTAAAAGTTTGAATACACAGAAGCTTTACACAATAAAATTAGTTACAGGTGATTTGAATCGACGTAGTAAAAAACAAGCTCGTCTTAAAGGTGTAACTAACACACAAGAAGCGACAGAATCTAATCAAGAAACGGACAAAATTCAGCAAGAAGTGCTGATGGTCGAAGTAGAAAATATAAAAGATCAACCTTTTGAAACTACATTGGAAGTTAAAGTATGTTATGTATTAGAAATACAATTTTCAATGTTTGTTAATCGAGTTTATTTTTATAAAAAATTAATTATGATTTTAGGCACTTTCTCAAGAAATTATTAAAACCATTCAATCGATAATCAGTATTAATCCTATATATAGGGAAATATTACATCCAATGTTACAACACGGTAATGTAGCCAATGATCCATCATACTTATCTGATGTTGCTGCTGCCATAACTGAATGTGAAACTAAAGAATATCAAGACATTTTAGAAGAAACTGATGTATCTATAATTAGTTAATCTTTTATTATTATTATTATTATTTTTTTTTTTCATTTAATGTATTACATTTTAAACAATTTTTTAGGTCCCTAAACGCCTTCGACTATCTTTGGGATGCCTGAAAAAACTTTTAGAACTCAGCGAAATTCAAATCAAGATTAGTAAAGAAGTAGATGAGAAAGTAAAACAACAACATCGAAAATTTATACTTCAGGAACAACTTAAAGTTGTAAAAAAAGAACTGGGCCTAGAAAAAGATGACAAAGACTCCATTGTAGAAAAATTCAGAGACCGAATTAAAGCAAGTTTATTATTGGAGTTATTTTTATTAATAATTTGTTTTTAAAAATATTTTATTATTTCAATGTACAACTAAATATTTCTGGTTTTTTTCTATTTTTGTTTGTATTTTAAATTTAAATTTATACTTTTTTACTTGGCGTATAATTTTAAAAGTCTTTTCTTTTGTGACAGTACACAATGATAACTAATGAGTACATTTTATATCAATTTTAAAATTAAAATTAAAATATTTTTCAGGATAAAAAAGTACCACCAAAAGTTATGGAAGTAATTGAAGAAGAGTTGACTAAATTATCATTTTTAGAACAACATTCTTCTGAATTCAAGTAAGTTATACACTAAAAATCCTAAAAATATTATTAGTTTTTAATATTAATTTAAATTTGAATGAATAAAATGTTTTTATTATCTATTTTTAGTAATTCATTTTTATCTAATTAAAATATGATTATAATTAATACAAGTGAATTAATAATAGTTAAATTAAAACTTTTTTTTTTAGAAAATAAATAAATTTTCATGTGGTAAATTTGAATAGTTTTATTACATTTTCTATATTTTATCAATAAATGGCTTTAACTAGAGTATATTGCTAATAACTACAAACTAAAAAGCACAGAACAACCAAACATCCAAAATACAATTTCGACGTTCAATAATTTTACATATCCAATATGTGTCTTCAATAATCATCGACGTAACATTGTGAAAATCAGATTTAACAAAAGTACTAAATATTTACTTGCAAAAAAAAAAAACATTTTTTCCATGATTTAATTGTTATCTTCTAGTTAGACTTAATTAATAATGTTTTATAGGTAGCAAAATCACAGAATAAATCATTTTAATCATTTAAAATGTGGTAAAATAAATAATTTTTAATAAAGACGCATATAAACATTTTTAACTAAATTAAGTTACCCATTTTATCATTTTATAGAAAGTTACTCTTAAGTAAAAGATTGTTTTTTTAAAAAACGTAACTTAAATAAAAGTAGTTTAAATAGGAAAGGAGCTGTCTAACTTTATAAAATTTAACGGTATATTTTGAAATTTTAGTGTCACTAGAAATTATCTAGACTGGCTCACACAACTACCATGGGGTGCTACAAGTAATGAGAATTTTGATTTAGACCGTGCATCGAAAATACTAGACGAAGATCATTACGGAATGGAAGACATTAAGAAACGTATTCTCGAATTTATTTCTGTCAGTAAATTGAAAGGCACAACTCATGGGAAAATAATATGTTTCCATGGACCACCTGGTGTCGGCAAAACAAGTATAGCAAAGTCAATTGCAAAAGCTCTAAATCGAGAAGTATGTTTTTTCTAACTAAATGATACTTCATGTAATTAAATCACAGGGATATTACAACATGGTAACATTTATAAATTTTAGTATTTCAGATTTAGCGTAGGAGGTATGACTGATGTCGCTGAGATCAAAGGCCATCGTAGAACATACGTGGGTGCTATGCCGGGTAAAATGATACAATGTCTTAAAAAAACTTCTACTGAAAATCCACTTGTGTTAATTGATGAAGTTGATAAAATTGGAAGGTAAATGTAATACTGACTAGGATAAAATTAAATTTCTTCACTTTACGGACAAACATTGAAGCATGGATATGTTTTTATATCTTTCTAAGGTTTAGTAAATGATCGACCTGGTTATTGTTTAATTTTAGGTATACGAATAAAAGTATCAATGAAAGTCATTTTATAGTATGTAGTATTAACTATATATCGTCTCATCATCAAAAATAAATGATATTTTTTTGTATTCAACGACGTTTTAATTAATAAAATTAGTAGGTCTTAAATTAATAGTTCTTAAATTCAGTAGGTGTCTAGGTGAGGTCACCGTTAAAATATTGGTAGGTACCAGCTGTCAGGTCACCTACTAAACTAATGCCGATCTTTGTGAAAAATGTAAATAAAGTTTTGTTTAAAACAAAGTGATTTATTGATTTTATTTTTGTAATTATTTTCATCAGGTCTGCGTCATCGGCTCTGCTAGAAATGCTTGATCCAGAACAAAATGCCAACTTCCTAGATCACTATTTAGACGTGTCTGTAGATTTATCAAACGTGTTGTTTATTTGCACCGCTAATGTTATCAACACAATTCCAGAGCCTCTACGAGATCGAATGGAACTCATAGATGTTTCTGGATATGTGGCCCAAGAAAAAATGGCAATTGCCAAACAGTATTTAATTCCTCAGGAACTAAAGGCCACCGGATTGACTGTTGAACAAGTAAAACGATTAAGAACTCGCTGTCAAATAGTATTTTTTTTTTAATTCGAACTTTTTGTTTAGATAGATATTGTTGATGAAAGTTTGTCAACTCTTATAAAATTTTACTGCCGTGAAAGTGGTGTCCGAAATCTTCAAAAACATATCGAAAAAGTATTATTTTCGTTCAAGCTGTGTCCGACTTAAATATTGTTAAATGGCTTTATTATAACAGTTTTAATTATTTTCCTTTTAAGATACTAAGAAAAGTTGCGTATAAAATTGTTAAAGGCGAAGAAGAAAAAGTGACTGTTTCTAAAGACAAATTAAATGATTTTGTTGGTAATCCAGTGTTCACTAAAAACAGAATGTATGAAAATCCTGAACCGGGAGTTGTTATGGGTTTAGCTTGGACTGCCATGGGTAAGCGCAGATTCTGGTACTATTTGTAAAAAGAAAAAACAAAATTCATGTTTGCCATTATTTTTTTTGGTTATAGGAGGTACAATGATGTATATTGAAACGGAATGGACCAAAGATCCTAAAACCGTGACTGAAAAAGATAAAGCGGTGGGTTCCATTGTGCTTACCGGTCGTTTAGGAGAAACTATGCAAGAGTCCGCCAAAACCGCATACACTGTAGCAAAAAAAATATTAAACAATGTCGATCCAAAAAATGTATCGCTATCGATTGGCAATGTGCATCTACATGTTCCTGAGGTAAGATTATCAGTAAATATCTAATAAACAAAAAATATAGCATTAAATATTAATGTGATATTTTTTTTTTAGGGTGCGACACCCAAAGATGGACCTAGTGCCGGCTGTACAATTGTTACAGCACTACTTTCGTTAGCGTTGAACAAACCCGTTTTTAAAAATATAGCAATGACTGGTGAAATTTCGCTCAAAGGAAAAATAATGCCAGTCGGCGGAATCAAGGAAAAAACTATAGCCGTAAGTAACTTGGAAATATCATGAATTATCACTAAACGCGGCACAAAATAACTTTAGCATTGCTACGACAGCATGTTTTACATATATTACATTGTGTCGTTTTTATATGCATTAGCCACATTAATAAGAACCTTAAAGTAGAATCTTAGTTAAAAAAGAAAACAGAAATTTATAAAAATATGTCGCTGTCTGTCGTTAACGCTAAGGTAACAACATTGTTGCCAAAATACGTATACGCATTGAGTATATTTTTTTTAAGGTTAAAGGTTTAAATATTTATTCCTTTACCAATTCATATGTTAATTTTTTTAAATTAAAAATAGGTATACATAGTATTGAAAAATGATTGTCTCAATAAGTGCAATCGATTGAGAATAATGTCGTTAGATTTTAATACTAAAAATTCTACTTTGAAAAAATAGTCAAATCTCTTTTGCACTATCGTCATTGATGTGTAAAATGCATTTAAAAATAAAAATAACTCTGTGTTTTGTTATATATTAATTATTATTATGTTTATGTGTTATAGGCGAAAAGGGAAAATATTAACTGTTTGATATTTCCTGAAGAAAACAAAAAAGACTTTGACGAACTACCAAAGTATATAACCGAAGGACTAGAAGTACATTTTGTTTCCTATTATAAGGAAATCTATGACATAGTGTTTAAAAATAAATCAAATTAAATTCAAATTGTTATATTATCGTGCAGGTTTTATTGGATTAAGTAACCTGATGTTTTCCATTACGTCTTAAGATTTCTTTTTTATGTTATAAATACTTGTATATACTGTCTGTTATGTGCTGTAGTTATTTGTTTTTTTATTATTAAAGATTGATAAATATTTAATAGATTTCTTGTACAAAACGGCTAACATTTTCTCATCGAAATAAAATATTTTTTTAATTACAATTGTATATTTTATGTTGTAAGAAAATGAAAATGTGAGATCAATCATTAGACGTGTACAATATTATTTTTTATATTTTGTGTTTAATGAAGCTGTTAATGCAATGTAGGTATTTATAATTTATCTGATTGCAAACTGAAAAAATGGATGCATATTGCTTATTAAAAATCACAAAAATGTTTTTATTTATAATGTGTTAAATACCAATATAAATAAAAAACAATATTACTCTGATAGCTATATCAAAATATGTATGGGATTTGAAAGGCGAAAAGGACCCTCTTGCTTTGGGAAAACGCCAAAATGTATTACAAATATAGGTATAATGTTATTTTTTTCATAATTATGACTTGGAAAAAAAGTAAATTTATCAACACTTTTTTTTGTTGTTTTGGCAACGCCGAATGGTATTTTTGTGATGTATGGCAACGACCGAGTCAGCGTTTTTCTGTAGTTCGTAGTAACGTCATTGGTTTCTTGAACCTTTATTTCAATAACTACAATATTACATAAATTAATAAATTATTTTCATGTGAATGTTCTTACATTGTTTTAAAAACCGGAAGAAATAAAACATTTGAGTCATTGAATTTTCGATACATCGCATCACCGAAGCAACTTTGTTGTTGAAGCAACTTGCAAGTATTACCTACCTATAATTTGCACTACGATTATAGTTAAAATCAACGTTTTAATTATTTTCAACAATTATGACAATTATTATTACACCTATAATTTCATTTTTATATTTTACTCGTACTTAGAAATATTTAGATTTAGAAAGAACATTATTAATTGAGTACTTACTGTCTTTTTGGCTTTTGCTAGTGTTGTACCTACGTTTATTATACCAGCCCTATAGGTGTATCACAATGGGTTGGCAGAGTAGCTTATATAAAACTTATATGTCACAAGCCAAGACCAAATATTATGTTTTAATAAAAGTATTGCCGTTTTTACACTATAGTACTCAGTTATCTTTTAGTCAACATAAAACTATTAGATAACTTTTAATTTTTATTTCACTTGAATATAGTCTATTATGATCGGGTTTACTATGTCACATCGTCTTAAAAATACCGAACAATTATATATATGTACTAGCTGCCCATATACCTTGCTTCGCACGGGTTAAGAAATACAATTGAAACATAGTACTCACAAATTAATAGTTCATATTATTGTTATTATATTTTAATATCAAACTCCAACTCAATCACCTTCTCCATCCCCATCCCTTTGGACAAAATGGTACACGTGTTAATGCCCGACTGGATAGCTATCACTCTCAAATTTACGGTTTCGTTTTTATCAACAATAGTGTCGATTTATGTAAAATATTGACTCAGATATTGAGTGGTTTACCATAAGTGTATCACCCTGTATATCACCCTGTATATATGTATTGATTAAATATGTCTTAAGAAGTCAACATGTCTTTGAAGTATAATTGTGGAACAGCCTTTCTAGTTTCTAATCTGTTTCAAGTTATTGATCTCATACGAGTTTGACCGTTAGTTCCACTTTCTATAATGGTAGTAGTTATAAGCAAAATTAAAATTATTATTGTGCGTTTTTATTATTTGGTCAGTTTCAACATGGTCTGAACAAGTACAATCGCTATTAAGTGGTTTCCGATCAGGCATTTAAGGCTGTTCACCCAAAATTTAAGTTTTGATTGGTCGCTTACAGGAAATCTGAAGAGACCAACTTACAAAACTATACTAAACAAACTTTCAAAATTAGAATACATTTTAATTGTCTTACGCAAAAAATTTAGTATTTTTATTTAAAGATTTTTTTTTACTACTATTTACCTGAACACTTGTAGTAAGGTTTTTTAAGATCATATCCACCTTTACCATCACTATCGGCCCCTGATAGCCGGTCGATAACGTACTTAAACTGCTGGGAAATAGGTAACCCCCCCCGTCCTGCAGAATGCATGACATGAACTGAGTAACCCATTCCCAATGAACGGGGGTGACCAGTATCATATTATTATTATTATACGTTATCTTTTATGGCTTTATTTCAGTACGAATAGTTATGAAAGAGTATGTACTAAAATCTAAATAATTACTCATCTAATAGACAATAGTCGTATTGGTAAACCTTACAGTTAAAACTCTTTTATATGAAGGCGGGCAGTACTTGGACTCGGATACGTTAAAAGATTTCAGTCTAGTACGCGCTATTTTTTTGTGAATACATTGGCGAAACGGCCTATACTTGGTTAAGTACGTTGCAAGACGTGCAACCAATTGGAAAAGCACTCAAGTCATTGCGTAGGCTATACTTAGGTGAGTATACTGAAAGACAAGCCACCTGTAAGCACGCTACATACATTTGACTGTACGTTAAATTTTTTGAAATGGTAGTAGTTATAAGCAAAATTTAATATATTATTGTGCGTTTTTATTATTTGGTCAGTTTCAATATGGTCTGAACAAATACAATCACTGTTTCCAAAGTAAGGTTTCTTAAGATCATCTTCACCTTTACCATCACTGTCGGCCCCCGATAGCCGGTCGATAACGTACTTGTAAACTGCTGGGAAATAGGTAACCCCTCTGTCCTTCAGAATACCTGACATGAACTGAGTAACCCTATTCCCACTATACCCCGAGTCTTGTGTGTAATCATCTGAATGAACGGGGGCGACCAGTATCATATTATTATTATTATAGGTTATCTTTTTAGCTTTATGGCGAGATGCACAAATACATAATAATGGTAAAAAAACAGCTGAATAATGTGGCATAAGGGAAGGCGTTATTTTTTAAAATTTTTGGCCCAATAAAGTATCTTTTAGGTACGATTTATCATCTATAGAGCTGATGCATGAAGAAAACGGTATAGCAGTTATCGTGGGTCTAGACACAAAATAAATAAATAAACGCACATCATTGTAAATACAATAGTAATAGTATAATAATTAAGAAAAATTGTAAGTTTGTGCTAAGAGATAGCACTGATATACAGATAGTACGCTATATAGAATATTGTTTTTGTGGTCAAGTGTTTATTAATATATTTTATTATTTTACAACGAATCACAATATAAAATCAAATCCGTATTCTTTTTTCGCATTATAATAATGTATAATGTATGAAACAAATAGCTACACATATGGTAAAACTTTAATCAAGCTGTCAAAAAACACATGTTGTGTGTCTTATTGCTACAGTCACACATGTGTTTTTTTTATAATTAAAAAATGTTTAAATAAAATAATTATAAATATCTAGTCTATATCTTTGTACTTATTTATTTTTTAATAAATGTTTAGTCTATATCTGTGAGTTGAAATTATGAAATCGATTTAGTTTTATTTATGAATTTATCGGTTGGATTAGTGTTATTCAAATAAAAATTCAAATTAAATTCAAACAAAAAAAAAACGCGACAGTTAACTTCAGCATAAATGTGTACCTATATACTAATTACTCTATTGGTTTCAACTTTGGTACTTAACGATCGAAAATATGTTTTTTGTACCGACAAAAACAAAACAACCGACACACTTAATACGCTTTTGGAATCTCCAGGATGGGATAAGATCGCTCAGTTGAAGGTCCAATTCCCTGTCAAAAGCTTTATTATTTTTAATGATCAAAGATCTTTCTCTGTAAGAGATTTATTATACAGAAACCTTGCAGAATCCAATACAATTGTTAACGATAACAACTACAAAATAAAATATGACATGATTATTTATTCGTTATCATGTGTGTACGCGAATGCGGTGGTAAAACTTTTAAATTTGACAAAAAATATTTTATATATTGGCACCAAGGAAAGACAGCGCTTAACCATAGTAAAGTGTAGGAAGTTGCGCAAAATACGCGAGGCAGATAATAAACCGAAATCAACAGACGAACAAGCTAATCTTGACGAAAATAATTACTCTGATAAACGGTCGTGTTCTACTGAAAATTCTGTTGATTTGATGGATCCCTGGAAAATATTGAATTCTGCGATAAAGCAATTTCAGAAAAGTGGTTTGATGTTTGACTACATGTTAGAAGCGTTGCGTTTTTTAAAAGAACTTGTACCGCAAACATATTATCGTAAGTATGCACCCGAATTAATACATTTTGGTAGAACTTTGTCGTTTTATAAAGACAGAACTACAAATATCAAATTAATTTTATCTGCTTACAACGGGGAAGACGATAATTGCTACAAAAATAAAATTAGCGACTTAAGCGGAAGATTTACCAGATTTCTCAATGATACAAAAGAAATAGATGTTTTTTTGAACAACTATTGCATTATACCAGAGAGCGATAAACCACAGATCGTTAAAAAAAAGATGTGTGCAAAACTTTTTTTGCAGACAAAGGTAAGCGAAGTAAGATTGAAGACAAATTTGATTTCGTACAAAAATTGGAGCATCAAATTGAATCGCTTGTTGATGAAGTCATTCAAAATTACTTTAAAGATTTGGGTTTCGTGCATGATTTGACGAACATAAAATAGATTATACATACCTACAGTTATAAAAAAGTAATATTAACATTATTTTGTCGATTTCCAGAAAAACATTAAATATTAATTGTTTTGTGCATTTTACACATAATAACAAAATGGTGGTGTTGGTGTTCATGGTGTTTACTTTGTTGAACACACCTTTCTGAATGCCTTTTTCAATGTGGTTTGGATTGTATAAGTTGTATAACAAAAAGAACCATATAAATCTCTAATAAAATTTTTATAAAAAATATAGACATCTTGTCCAAAAAGCCTATGAAACTCTGAATCGGACAAATGGAATATTATACTAATTACTCAAATATTTTTGTATAATCAGTCAGTTGAATTATTTATTATCTATAAATATATATTTTTCTCCGCCTCTATTATCCTGTGGCTGGAATTAATATGGATCCATACCTTGCTTATTATTATTTTTTTAAGCAACAATAACTTTGAATTTCTTCTTCCTTTGTCGTTGACCATGACTCACATTCGTCTACATGGATATAGATCGTAGAT